GGTGGCTTTGGCCAGGGCCAGTTTTTTTCAGGTCCTACATCCTGGATGTGGTCTGAAAGTCCTACTCTTCCAGCACTGCCTCTCATATGGGACTAAGGCCAATAAAGCAGCGGCTTAGCCTACATGGGCAGATGGTGTGCACGGCCTCACTGCATGCAGTTTTAACAAGCTGACCCTGTCTACTTGATGTGCACCCCAAGGGCTCTTGGCTGGCCCTGCTGTGATACAGGATGAAGGGAAGGGATGGGGTCCTGGCCAAAGGAAAGTCAGGCAGTATTTGCTGATGGTCAGACACAGGTAATCACATTTAAACAGAAAGAGGGAAAGAGGGGAGGGCAGCAGTCCAGACATAAGGACAAAGGAGGAGGGGAGGAAGAGGAGGGAAGAAGGCTGGGGACACAGGAGGGTCTGGGCTGTTCCTGCCATCTCCTTTGGGCTGTCTGTGACTCATCTTCTGGGCTGTGTGTTGCCTCGGTCTATCTTATTGATCTGTTACATGTGGATGGTGGGAGTTGGGGGGTGGGCAAGAAGAGCAGCAACTATTTCACCATGTCAAGCTGTGGTGGGGTACTGGCTTCTTTGTCCCTAGAACAGCTAGAATTTGGCCCAGGCCTTTGCAAATGAGCCAATTAATCAGGACTCAATGCATTCTTGTCACCAAGGTGGGTGATGTGGGAGCTCTCTGTCCAGATAATGCTTTTTGAATCTCTAATGCCAGGAGCTAAAAATGGTCACCTAAGAAGCTGTGGGTTGCCAGTGTTCTTGATGGGTTCTTAATCAGTATTTTCTTCTTTCTCCACAGGTAGACTGGGAACCAGGGGGAAAGGGTCAAGTGTAGGTTGACTAAATCCCTATAAATCAGCATGTTCTGTATCAGTCGGCCACAGCCCTGTATACAAAATATGCTGTTTATACACTGCAGATCATGGGATGTTGGGAACTCACAGGGAGAAGACAAGAGGGATGTGCTTGATCAGATGTTGAAGGTAATGGTTGCAGTAATTGTGTCCCTTTTGGAAGGTGCCCGTCTGTGCCAGTAATGTGATAAGGCTTTAGTGTTATGCCAGGAGGGCTGTACCCTAAGGGAGGCATCAGCATCCTCAACAGGGCTTTTCCAAACTACAGCCTCACAGGAAGCCTCCTCTCTTTCCACAAAGGTGGAGCCATGCCCAGGTTAGGCAGCCAGGGTTTGCAGAGCGTCACATAGCAGAACTCAAAAGACACACTAGCATTAGGGAGGGCTTGTACCAGGCCCTAGGTCTGTACCAAAACCTACAGGTAAATAAGACTCTACTATTTGCCTCAAGACAAAGAAAAGGGAGAAACAGTTATGTTCCCTCTACATTGGTGTCAAAGCTGCAGCCTGAGCTGAGTGTCGTAATGCACATCTGTCATCCTAGCTCCTTAGGAGGTGGGAGGCAGGAGGATCTGAGTTCAAGGCCAGCCTTGTGCAAAGTTAATAACTGGCCTCAAAACTAAATATAAGCACAAAGCTATGAGTTTAATGTCCAGTCAACACACACACACACACACACACACACACACACACACACACAAAATAAATAAATAAAAAAGCAACAAAAGAAAGACAAAAACTGCAGCAGCCTGAGTTAGGCCATGTGGGAGGGGTATTTGGCAAGCTAGATTTCCTACCGAGAAATGCCAATTTTGAGAGAAATGTTTTAGTGAATCAAACGGGAATCCTACAAGACTCTGTCACATGTGTCAGTGCAAACAGCCTACAGCCACACCTGCAGCTGGTGGCCGGAGTTCTTCCCAGAGGAAAATGGGCCAAGGGGAGTGTCCTCTCAGGAAGTGTTGTTGCTGTTTGTATCAAGCTACTTTCTGGCTGTGTCCACCGCTCTGACTCATGGTACAACAGTCCTCTTCCACACCACTCATAACACAGGGGCAGTATCTGGTTACTAGGAGGTAGGAGGAACACTATTGTCAGCTTTAACCATCTGCAGAGGACCATGCAGATCTGATGGGGAAGCAGGCATCAGAAAGCCAGAGCTTCCTTATAAAATAGGAGACAGAAGAGCACAGGAGAGCTGGGTTTTAGTCCTAGTACCATCTAGTTCCAGTGGCCAGGGCTAGTCAGGTCTCAGTTTACCCCTCTGTAAAATGGCAATGGCGTAGGGGGCTCTCATATAAACCTATTGACATAATCTGTGTGAAAGCTCTTTGTGCATAAGGTTTACATAAAGAGGAGTTGGTCATGTAGAAGTTTGGCAATCCCAGCACTGTCACTTCCGTTTCCTCTCTGGCCATCCCACAATGTCTCTGTTCATGGGATCCATATGAGAGCTTTAGTTCCTGTGCACAGCTGCAGGCAGCTGGTGTGAATAGGAAAAGTCAGGACATGTTTGTTTCTAGGGAGCAGGGTCTCTTCAGCACAAGGTCATGGAAGGAGCTTTCCGCTTCTGTCCAAGGAAGAACAGGGCAGCCCCACAATGCATCAAGTAGAAAGAAACATTTTGGGGCTGAACTGAGATCATGGGACAGAAGCAAGTTGGAGCCATCTGGCTATGATGAAGGGAAGAGGAGAGGGCATGTGTGAGGACCTGCAGTGGGGCAGGCGTGTGGGCAGCAGGTGGCCTGTGAATCAGAGAGGCAGGTCAGGGATACATCAACAGCCATGGTTCTTGGGTCTGGGGCCTTGTTGCTTGAAATACAGTGAGGTGCAGTTTGTGACTCACAGGCCAAAGCTTGATGATACAGTGACCTTCATTTTGCAATGCAGAAATAAGATTATAATAGAAAGAACAATGAGTATCATTTGGGGGACTACACCTACGTGCTAAGTGGCTTACATCCACTTCTCATTTAGTCACCTGACACTATCCCCTTATTCTCCACTCTCTAGCCACATGATGGCTGTTCTCTGCCCAGAACTGGTCTGCTCAGAGCCTCCACATGTGCTGTTCCCCAGTGAGACACTCTTCCTCCCAATGCCCCAAAGTTCTCTACTTTTGTCTTGGTCTCCTGGCATCTAGAAAAGCTCTCCATGCTTCTCCCTAGCCAAGCTTTCCTTCCCACCCTCCCTCCCTCTACCCTCTGGATAATAATGACTGTAGCTTGTACTGGGGAGGTTCCCTGCTGGTCTCTTGCATATGGTATACTCCTCCACTTGAATATGGTGCCCACTGTGTGCTGCATCTTCAGCCCCTAGTGCAGTGACTGCATACAGTTTAATAAAGACCTTGTTGATGACACAAAGCATCTGCAGAGCTGTCCTTTAAGGCAGGTCTTTTATCCTCATTTTATAGTCAGGAAACTGAACAGTTGTTCAAGCTCACAAAGCTAGCCAAGGGCAAATCCAGATCCCTGCCCAGGAGTGGCAGAGGCAGAGCTGACTCCTGGACTTGCCTACAACCCCTCAGCTACAGGATTGATACTGTTTTTTTTTTGCGGTGGGGAGGTAGGACTGGGCTTTGAAATCAGGACTTCATGCTTACAAAGCAGGCACTCTATTGCTTAAGCCACACCTCCCGTCAATTTTGCTCTGGATATTTTTGGAGAGAGGGTCTTGTGAACTATTTGCAGGGGCTGGTCTTGAAGCATGATCCTCCTAATCTCAGCCTCTGAAGTAGCTAGGATTACAAGCATGGGCCACTGGCATTCAGCAAGATTTGCACTTCTTACAGCCCCCAAAACTTGACCCTTTATTTGCAGAAATACTTAAGAAGGTCTCCCCAAATGCAAGGTGATGTCATGCATGCAGCCTGTGCCCAGAACAGCAGGTCACTGGGAGGACTTCTCCCCTCTCTGACTCCCAAATGCCTTTGCAGTCTCAATCTTGCAGCTGAGCATTGTTAGGAGCTGGCTCCTCTTCCCTCCTCTCCCCAGTCTTAACTGATAGCACCCCCACTGCCATGCCAACCAGATTGTAAAGTTCTGCAGGGCAACCACTGAGTCCTCTACTTAGGATGTTTTCTTTGGTGCCAAGTGTACGACAGCAGTCACAAAACAAGCTGACAGCAAGCTCACAGGGGGAAATCCTGCCAATAAATCAGGGAAGTTAAATCTCTGACAGAGCTACAGAGGTGCTCCTCGCCACTCCATGCATCTTCTGGCTGTAGGGCTGTGGGGAGTTATTGGTAAGGGTATGATGAGCCCATTGGAACTGTGTGTCTACCAGGTGGGGCTTTGTGCGTGCTACTTTCAATCTGTCACATAGGGATGGATGCCACTGCACTCCTGGGGGAGCAGGGTAAACTCCTGGCATTGCCTGTCCCCTGTGTGGCTTTCCAGTTTGAAAGTGCTCTTGTATATTGCCCTGTCCCTGCCCAATGCTGCCACCATAGGCACCTACAGCTAACATAGTCCTAGGTTTCCGGTTGACCCTACTCCCCCAGCTGCTTTCCTGGTACTCAGCACCTCCTCTGCTGGGCTGATGTAAACCAAACACAAAGGATTTGAAGGGCTCAGGCATAAGCAGCCCAGACCTCTGGCCCACAAGAGGGCCACTAGACTCTGTGACTCAGCTCTTGACTTAATTTCAGGGTTGAGAGACAAAAAGGCTGGCTCCACATGGTAACTTCCCAATATGTTCAAATGGGACCATTTTGGTGGCTGAAATGGCAGTAACAATTTTCTCACTATCACTTCTCTGTTTCAGTACAGCAAGCGATCTAGGTCGTAAGAACTTGCATGGCCTTCCTTTGTGAAGCTATTTTTCCCCTCAGGACTCAGTGCAACTCTTCAGAACAAATAAAAATGCAGTTTATGGATACCAATTTTTCCAAATTGGTCTCAGTGTAACAACCTATCTCTGTGCTTGCCAGCAGTCATCTGCTCTTCCTCTCATCCTCCCTCTTCTCTCACACCCAGCAGGCCCCACTCACTTCCCCACTTTCTCTCCCACTGACCTTTAGTATACAGTGGGCACAACCACAGATGGCTCAATGTGCTGTCCCCACCTCTCTGAGATAGCAGCCCCTGTCTGCAGGTGTGCAGGACACCTTTGTGGGGTGATGGCATTATGGGGGACTTACCCAGAGGGTACGGGGTGCTGGAGATCCTCCCACTGCTTCGTCTGCCACTTCTGTGCTGCAACTCTGGGGTTGTTGCCATTCTGGCTCCTCCACTTGCTGTTCATTCTTGCTCTTCTGCTTCCTTATGATCTGGTGGGAAACAAAGAAGGAAAAATTATTGGAGAGGCTCCCAGAGGAAGGACCTGGAACCATCTCTGGATCTTTCTCACCCACGCTCAAGCTTAGTTTTGATAGAATACTAGCCTGTTTCAGATCTGCCTGCTGATAAAACAGTACATATAGCATTGACTGTATATAGCATGCTACAGTTTACAAATACTGTTGATCCCCTATGCATCTACAGGGGATTGGTTCTGGAAATCTCCTTTCCCTGAAGATACCCAAAACCGTGGATGCTTGCAGGGTGCCAATGACTCACACCTGTAATTCTAGCTATTTGGGAGGTTGAGATGAGGAGGATCGCGGTTTGAGACTAACCTGGGAAAATACTTCATGAGACCCCCCCCCTTCTCCAAAATAACCAGAGCAAAATGGATTGGAGGCGTGACTCAAGTGGTAGAGCACCTGTTTGCAAGCATGAAGCCTGGAGTTCAAACCCCAGTCATACCAAAAACAAAGAAAAACAAGAAAACCATGGATGCTTTTCCCCTTATATTAAATGGCATAGTATTTGCACAGAACCGACATACATCTTCAAGTATACTTTAAATCATCTCTAGATTATTTATGATACCTAATACGATACAAATGGTATGTAACTAACTGCTAGACTGTCTTGTTCAGGGAAGAAAAATAAGAAAAAAGTCTAGACACGTTCATTGCAGATCTAACTATTATGTCACACTTATATAGTGCATAAATGAGATGCCATTCAAACACTTAGCACTGGAGAAGGCCCAGGCTCTGTGAGATGCCAGGAGGTGCAGCAGCTAAGTCTGCACATCACTTTGTTCATGTGGATTCAGCCATGTGTTCAGTGCAGCAAATTCAGGGTATGTTTGGGAACATTTTGGAATCTTTTCCCCTGATATTTTCTATTCATGGTTGGTTGAATCTGCAGATGAGGAATCCATAGATACAGAGGGGTAAGTGTAATCCTTTTATGAGGTTAACAGTTTCTTCTATGTAAGTGCCTATCATGTCAGACTCTGGGCTAGATACCTTATATGCTTGACCTCATTTATTTCTCAAAATAATTCCATACTATGATTCTCATTTTATACATGAGAAACCAGGCTTGGGGAGCTGAAGTTATCAGTTAAAACCATACAGTTCCTAAGTGGTTGAGCTGAAGTTCAAACTTGGCATCTCTGGCTCTATGTCCTGACTTGAAGAAACATCTGGAAGCACTAAGGATGGGCAGATTCCAAGGTTACGTGGGGATGGCTTCCACTTCAGCTTGTTTGACCCACCACTGGGCTGGCACAGCCATTTGGATTTACAGGATCCACCTGTACAGAGGCTCTGGGCTACCAACTTCTACAGGCAGGGAGCAGCTGAGAGAACTGCCACGTCACAAAGATGGGCACAGTCTCCAATGCATTTTAAACTAGAGAGGATGACAAAAGGGGAATAGAGGACAGAGATACTTGCCCAGGGATGGACCTGGGCCTAATCAAGGCATGCCCCTATCTGGAGGGCAGGGACCTGGCCATGTGTGCCAGTCAGGTTTTAGAATTGCTGTGGCTCAGTGACCTCCTGCACCTCCCCTTCTTCCCCTCTGCAGGTGGGTGGGGTTTGCTGTTCTCCCTCCTCTCCCAAGATTGTATGATGGGTACAAGGAGAAGTCCATTTGTTTGCTTAGTTCACAGGTCTCCAGCTGAAAGGTGCTGAATGTGGATCAACTATCCTTTGAAACAATGATGAGACATTTGAGAGTCTTTGGGTGGGGACTGCTACTTGACATGTGGACAGGGACTGAATCACTGCGTAGTAAGGCAAGACTGAATTTTTTGACATTCTTTATGTCAAAAAATGTCCATCTGCAGTCCTTTCCAATGTAGGGAGAATATACTTCCCAGTCTTTAGCTCAACCATGGGATTTGCTTTGGTCAGTGGCAGGTGAGGAGGGAGTCAGAGATGGGTCAGGGTTGAGCTCAGGTGTAAGAGTCATGGGTTGCTTCCTCGTGCTTGCTGTGATCTGCACTGGCCATTAGTAGCCCCATCCCTGTTTTCTCTTTCTCTATAGCCCTGGTCTCACTGTGCAAGAACCCACAGCCATCTGGACTGTCAGGGACACTTACCTTCTGCAGGATTGTTGTGGCTAGCTCCTCAGTTAGCTCCTCCTTGTGGTCTCGCAGGTAACTGGCCTCATTCTGCTTGTCCTACAGAGGGAAGAGAATGGAGGGGTATGGTAATCACTGTCTCTGGAGAGTCCTGACCACAAGAACAGAGGGAGGTTGGAGACTGCTATAGTCCTCATGGCCAAGACACTCACTGCCTCCCCCCGTCCCTCCACCATACAGAAGAAGGCCCTACCAGGCTGTCCCCATGGGCTTCTGCTTTGGAAATGGCTTCCTCGATGGCCTCTTCAGCTACTCTTAGGGCAACAGCCAAGGTGTCCATCATGCTATGTCCTAGACAGGAACAGAACACAGGACTTTCTAAAAGGGAGCAAGTTAATGACTTCCACATTAAACTCTTCTTCTTAAAGACTTTGGGGCTCCAGTACAAGCTCCAAACTGCTTACAGTGACACTGAGTCCCTTGTCCTTTCCACTCACTCTCTACTGCCTCCCACTCATCACTTCCATTCCATGCCCCAGACCCCCAGGTTATCAGATTCTTTGAGTGCTGCTATTTATCTTTTCATGCTCCTCTGCCCTCCTGGCTCCTGTTCCATAACTGACACAGTTCTTGGCGACTGTAAGAAAACAATGGTTCTCCACCCACTTTTTCAAATAAAGCTTAAATTTTATTTTGTGCATACAGGTATCCTTGTGATGACAGGGAAAAAAGTTATTAAATGTCCTGAGGAACCATGACTCAATGCAATTACAAAACACATGGGAGAATTTTTTTTAAACCATAAACCAGTGTCAACAACAACACTGGCCACTTCAAAGAGCTAAACCAGATGCCAGACCTCACGCCAAGAGTTTTACATATGTGATCATCCTTAATCCTTACAGCAATCCAATGAGTAGGCACCATGTAGATACCATTTTACAGATGTTAAATTCAAAGCAGAGTCGTTAAATAACTTGCCTAAGGTTACACAGTGAGAGAGCTAAGGCTGGATTTCAGTGCTCTGTCTCCAAAGCCCTTGTATTTAAACACAAAAGTGAAATGAATATAAGCTAATATTATTTTAAAAGATAGTAAGGGGCTGGAGGTGTGGCTCAAGCAGTACAGCACCTGTCTAGCAAGTACAAAGTCCTGAGTGCAAACCAGTACCAGCAAAAGATATAGAGAAATAGTATTTTTAGTGAACACATTTTTTGTATATAGCAACAAATGGAAGAAAGTACACCCAAGTCAAAGAACTTATCCAGACGACAAAACTCCTTTTGGAGCCAAGTGCTTGGAAGAGTTCTTCCACCTGTGAGGTACTAGAGATTGGCTTCTTAGTTGGGGAATTTCTATTGTCTTTCCCTTAGTTTGCCCCAGGAATTCAAGTTACATAGGCACAGGAGTGAGGGTCTGAAAAGGCTGGGTACCTATGTCTCTTTCCCAATTTCAACCTCCTATTTCTATTTAGAATCTTCTAGTCATGTGTAAGCTGCTGAAAATTCTTTGTGGAATGAGACAGGGTGTAAATATATAGATTCATTAACTAATCACTCAATTAAAAAATTCAAGCTTCTATACTCCTAAAGGCACAAATGTGGTCAGAAAGTGCCATTTTACAAAAACAGTAAAATCTCTAAAACCAACCCAGCTAAGATCCAAGTGATCTAGCTAGCTGATGGGTATGTTGTAGGTCAACCATGACAGTCGTGATAGCACCACTTCAGGGCGACCTACACTGGGGCTCTGTATGTGAGGTATGGCTGACTGCACCCACAGTTTTCCCAATGTTTCAATCAGCAGACCTATAAACTAAATTGTCATCACACAGTGCTCCCTGGAGACAGACACCATATCACTCATCTCTCTTCTGTACATGTCAATTCATTTTTATCATAAGCTTTTATTCAGTGTACAAAATAATGGGTTTCATCATGACCATTTATTTATTTGAGGTACTGGGGTTTGGACCTAGGGCTTCATGCCTGCTAGGCAGGTGCTTGCTCTGGTTATTTTGGAGTTAAGGCCTCACTTTTTGCCCAGGCTGGCCTGGATTGTGACCCTCCTTATTTATGCTTCCTGCAAACCCTGGGATGATAGGCATGCAGCTTTTATCCCTGTTGAGACGAGATCTTGCAAACTTCTTTTTCTGGGCTGCCCTCAGACTGTGATACTCCTGAATGATCTCAGCCTCCTGAGTAGTCAGGGTTATAGGCCCGAGCCACTGGCCCTTGGCTTCGTTGTAATCTTTTCATGCATTCATCTATAGTAGACCCTTGGTATCTGGTTCCAAGGAGACCTCTGTGGAGGAAAATCTGTGAATGCTCAGGATGGATATGTAACACAAGCACAAAAGCTGCTTTTGCTGAGGAACACTGACTCCTTACTTGGGTCCAAGAATTAACTAAACACAGGAAACAGAGTGTTGTAATTCCTCTTTTCTATAGAAATGGAAGGAAGAAATTGACAGTGGGGAAATTGTAACCAGGACTACAAAAAGGAAAAAACACTTTTGGTTGTAGCCAGCTTGCTGCTGGCCAGTTTACTCTGCTTATTAATTAAACTGACATTCTTTCCCTCTTTATTAAGAGGAGAGTCCAAGGTTAACTCCCTTTACCAATTAAACCAGGGAATATTCTACCCCTTGTCTCTTCTCTGACCACCAGAGAAATAAATCTGTCAGCCAGGACATACAGCTTTGGAGATGTGGTGCCAGCAGCCACTGTGGATGTGTTTTCTCACAGAGTCAAGTTGAGCTCCTGAACTCCCCTTTAAAAGGCAGACATTTTTTCTCAGAAGAGGGACGATAATAGTGCTTTGAGGGGTTGACTTTCCCTGACTTCTTCTTCCTCTGATGAATAACAAACCTTATTTCTTTTTCCTCAAAAACCCTGCTCTCATTATTTGTAAATTGTAAATTGGCCTTGAGGCCAGGCTTTCCGGTAACACAGTTCAGTACTATAGTGAGGATGCCTGATTTAGTTTCCCCATCACACCGCCCCACTTCCACTAAAGACACGCCACCTTTCAACAGATCTAAAATGTTCACTTTATCTCTTCAATTAAGCACACTCACTTTTACCCTGCTTTTGGGGTACCATTTTTTTTGGGAGGTGGATGTTCACAAAATGAAGCACCAGGAGATCACACCATGACTCAAACACACTGACCATAACGTGGAACTGACCGAGAGCTTCTCTGCAGCAACTGAACTGTGTAATGAGTGCAGGAATTAAAAATTTTTGTTTCTGAAATTTCTTTAGAATTTAAGAATTTCCAATTACTTTTTTGACCACCCTTGATCAAAGCTGTGTGTAACAAGTCCATGAATATGGTGTGCTGACTGTAACATACTTTGGTCACATTCACCCACCAAGGCATTTTCACCAAATGTTTACAGAGTAGCTCCCCTGTGCTGGGCTCTGGGGTGGGGTTCCCCCAACAATGCCATATGCTTGTGTGTTTTCCAAGCTATTAGGTGATCAGGCACATAAGTGATGGGGACAGTTACCAAGTCCCACAGATCCCGGAAAGTAAGCACCTGGAACCCAAAATGCTTTAGACACCATGTTTATGATTCTTGCAGGAGTGATGTGGAAAGCAAAGTGAAGGTTCAGGTTGGTGTTTCAGAGGGAAAAACTGGTAGGATGTGGGGTAAGGGTAAGAAGGCAGAGTAGCCAAAGTTTAGAAGCCCAGCTAAAGGCTGGGGTTGTTAAATTTTATGTGACAACTTGGTTAGGCCACAGTACCCATTTATTTAATCAAGCACTGATCTTCTGTTGCTGTGATGGTATTTCGTAGGTGTGGTTAACATCTTTAATCAGCCGACTTTCTGTAAAGGAGGTTATCCTTAGTGATGTGGGTGGACCTCATCTAATCAACTGAAAGGTCTTAAGGGCAATAACTGAAGTTTCCCAGAGAAGAGATCCTGTGACTGCAGCATCTGCTCCTGCCTGAGTTTTCAGCCTGCTGCCCCACTGATCAGAGATTTCGGATTTCAGGCTTGTCAGGCCCCCACAATTACATGATCCACTTCCTCAGAAAGAGTCTCTCAGGGAGTATGTGTGGGTATGTGTGCAGATTTTATGTCTCCTACTGGTTCTGCTTCTCTGGAGAACCCTGACTGATACACTGACCACTGAAATTAGTGTTAGTGCTGAGGATTTGGGGCAGTGAAGAGCTGAGGGTCAGAATGAAAGAAAAGGGTAAGACTGGAAACAGCTGGCAGACCCTTGGGTGGCTGGGTGAAATGAAGAGAGGAAATGAGGACACAAGATAACACTTGCTGGTGGACGTGACTGAGGATCTTGACGAGGACACATTGAAATTAAGAACCCCATAAGGCTGACAGTCCTAACGGCCAAACAATAGAAACCTGAGTCTAGAACTCTGAGCCTTGGAGGCTCAGCAGCACAATTGGTACACTGAGGCCACATGATGGTGGGTGGTAAGCGATGGGAAAGTTGATGGCAGTGAGATGATAGGGGCAGGACTGTCACGAGAAGGTTCTCATGAGGAACAGAACCAATAGGCTATAGATAGAATATCTGTCTGTTTATCTATCTATCTATCTATATCTGTTATGGGAACTGGCTCACACAATTATAGAGACAAAGAAGTTCCATGAGATGCTGTATGACAGGAAAACAGATAGTATAATTTAGTCCAAGTCCAAAGGCCTGAGAAATGAAGGAGTCACTGGTTTCAGTCCCAGAGTCTGAGGCCCAAGGACTAGGCAGGAGTCCAAGGATGTCCAAGGGCAGGAGGAGATGGATGTCTCCGCTCCAGAAGAAAGTGGGTGAATTCATCCTTTCTTCACCTTTTTGCTCTGTCAGGACTCTTATTTACTCAGTCTATGGATTCAAACCTCTTCTGAAAACACCCTCATAGACACACCCAGAAATAATGTCTTACCAGCTATCCACGACCCCCTTAGCCCTGTCAAAGAGATACATGAAATTAACCATCACAGTCTGTAAAGAGAGAACAGAGCTGGTGCAGGAGAGCCATGGGGCCACAGGAGGTACTGGCTGTCAATGGTCAGTACTTTAGAGAAGGAACTGGAGTGATGGCAAAAGTCCTGTTTGAAATTTAGAAGTCTGTTTTGCTTTTAATAACTGCTCCAAGGGGGTAATTAGATTTGTATAAATGTAATAAAAATAAAAATTAAATTAAAAAATAGAAAGTAAAGAATAAAATGTTCATCAGTAAATCATACATTCTTTATAGGAATATTTTAGTATGAGGTGCCCACGTCAGTGGATTGACGATTACACTCTAACTCCAGAACATTCACCAGTTGCTCATAAAGTGCTGAGTGTCTGGGAGGAGAAAGCAGCTCTCTAGGCTGTACTTGGTTTACACTTACCTGTTCTGATGATGGGTTTACCCAGTTGGCAATAATAAGACTTGCAGAGACTAACACATAGCAACACATGGTCACATGCAGGGTAGGGATGCAACTGGACTCTGTGACGGTATCTGTCAGTGTTTCTATTCCTCTATTCCCAGTCTCTGTAACCTCTTAAGCAGCCTTACCTTCTGACTGCCTGTAGAATGCTGAGTCACTGCCTGAAACACTTCCTTCATTCTCCAGGTTTGACTCAAAAAAGCCTCCACCTGGGAGGAGGGCAGAAAGGGAGAGAGAGAGAGAAAGAGAGTCTGGTAAGCATGGATGCTGTCAGTAACTGGCAGATCACCATCATCCACTATGAATAAGGCAGCCTGGCAAACAAGTTCAGGGAATCCCTGGGACCCACAGTGATGCTCCAGTCTTTGACCGATTGTTATTTCATCTCACTGTGATTTCTGGTGTAGCACTGCTGTCACCCCAACTTCCTCCCAAAATGTTCTCCTCTGGGTTCATTGCTAAGAGGGGCTTGTTTTAAGAGTCACCCTCTCTTGCTCGCTTGGCCTCTCACATGTGGTCTCCTGCCCTTACATTTTCTGCCACAGATGATACAGCAAGAAGGTCCTTGCCAGGTATCAGTGCCACGCTCTTGGACTTCCCAGGCTGCAGGACTGAGTCAAGTAGACGTCTACTGTTAATAAACTTCCCAGTCTTATGTATTCTGATACAGCAACACAGTCTGATATAGAACTCTTTTGAGGGCAAAGGCAGAACAACAGACAGAAGTCTGAGACATGTGGGCTCAGTTTTGGGACCTGAAAATTACTAGCTGTGTGGCCTTCAGTAGATGATATTTCACTTATCTTTAGCCAAAGCTGTGGCAACCATCCAAACACTTACTCTTAGCTAATGATTTGACTGACACCCCTCACTTCTGCTGAAGAGTCCATGTGAAGCAAATCCAGAAGGATAGGCAAGCCACACTATATGATCTTTTAAGGTCTTCTGCCGCTTTTCTCAATTGAGCCTACCACTCTGGCCTTAATTCCAGTCTAGGAAGAACATTTTAAGAAGGCCTGTCTTCAAGGCCCTTTTAAAGTTAGGGTTTCTAAAGTCTGTGTTCACGCATTTGTTTTGTTTATCAATTGAGATTGTTGAAGGTGGGGATAATGGCTTTATGTGTGTTTAAATACTGTACCTCAGTGTCCAGGATAGCAACTAGATATCAAACAGCTCAAAAATTATTGAATTAGATGCTGGTTGCAAGAACCAAGAAAATAATTATGAGTGTACATGCCTTAGCTCCAAATGGGGCAAATGCCACGGATATCGAATCTAATAGGCTGTCACAGGGGCTCTCACAGGGGAACAGGAAGGTATCTGTTATAGGTATTTGTGATGAGTTTGGTGGGCTGCTATCTTTATGAATAAACCATTAATGTATGGCCTGTCATTGTAATTCAGCCTATGCCATTCTCTGTGTTTGTGTTTTTAGACCAGGCCTTCGAAAGGCCTGAAGTCTATTCTAGCTCTGTGACCCTAGGGAAGGGACTTTGTCCCCTGAGCCTCAGTTTCCTCATTTATAAAATAAAGCATTAGGATAAGTCATCTCCACAGCTCCCAGGCTACCCATCCACATCAGTATTCATTCATCCAGCAGACAGCTCACAAATATCTACATGGTGCCTGGTCTTGAGCTAGGTGGCCAGCAAAGGTAGCCACCTTCCCTCCCTAACAGATGTGAGAGAGCAGGGAGGAGAATGCACTAGGCAAACACTTACGTAAACAGGTGTAAAACTTAACATACACGTGTTAAGTGCTCAGCTGAAAAGACTGACCTGGGAGCAAGGAGCCAGCCAAAGAGGTGAGGAAGGAGGGAGAGCAGCCTGGGTGCAGCAAACAGCTGGCACAGTGACTGGCAGTGAGGCACAGGGACTAAATGAGAGGCAGCATGGCCAGGCAGAGAAAAGATAGGAGGCACAGGTGAGGAGAACCGGGACTCTGGCCGAACAGGTTGTGGTGGCCACACCAGTGACTTGGTCAAATTTGGGTCCCTGAAGTGCTCTGTGGCTGCTGTGTGGAGAACAGTTGGGGTGGGGAGTGGGATAAGGTAGATGTCCAGTGAGGAAAGGCAGGAAATGGGATCCCTGAATGCAGCCCACTTTCTGGAGTTAGCCTGTGGTGGGAAAGTGAGCAATGAAGTATTTAGGAAACAGGAGTGACTGGATGGGTTCATAAATTAATAGGAGCAACTCAGTCAAGAGAAAGGTTGAGCTGGACATGGTGGTACTTGGGGTGCTGAGGCAGGAGGATTGTGAGTTTGAGGTGGGCTTGGGCTACATAGTGAGACCCTGTCTCTAAAAGAAAGAGATGAAAGGAGGGATGGAGAAAGAGAAAGAGAGAGGGAGAGGGGAGGGACAGAAAGAGGGAGGGATGGTGGAGAGAGAGAGAGAGAGAGAGAGAGAGAGAGAGAGAGATCTTAAAATAGAAGGAGGAGGAGAAAAGAAAGTTTGAATAAGCAAGGAGTGACCTTGAGGCTTCCTGGAAGGTGACAGGGATCGGAAGGGGAGGGTCAGGCAGTGGTCTCATGAGAGCTATGCACATGAGAAAGCCCCTGTTTGGTGTGCCTGTCTTTCACAGGGAGGAAGTGGTGGGGTCCTCTGCTAAGAGGATGGGGAGGCCAGTGGAGAGAGTGAGGAAAGAGGAGGGGTCTGGGGATGTCCCTGGGAGACCTCACTCATGCAACAAGAGCTGTGGGTCCATATGGCCTAAAAACTTCGAGCACAACTGCTCTCTCTCTATTTCCCTTTAAATGCATACATGGGAGTGTGGTATAATTTAGGGTGACAAGATTTTCCCCAAGGGCACCCTGAATTTTTCTGGAAAGCCCTGGCCCAGCAGCTCCTTGGCATCAAATCACCATTCCTTGTGAGTTGAGGGAACCTCTGATTTCATGTGGCTTAGCGTTTCCCAAAGATCCCATTCATCACTCACAGCCAAGATGAAAGATGCAAGAGACATTTTCAAGAATCATGTGAAAATAGACATAGAGTGATAATATGTAAAAGTAGGGTTTAGTTTTTCATTTATCCAATTCAAAACAAAAATCACATTTTTTTTATCCAGGTGCCTGAAAATTTAGTGCATTAATAATGGCTATTTTCACATTTGATGTAGAGGCTCTTTTTAGAATAACTGTTAGGTTATTCTATGTTAAGTCATGCTAGGTCTAGCAGGGAATACTCATTGCCATTGGACATTGTATTATTTATAAATGTGCTCATTTATTTATCAGAACTTCTCTACTGGAATGTTGGTTCCGAGATAGCACAATTGCCCATCTTGTCAACCCCAGCACTTAAACCAGGGAGGCACATAATAGGTGGTCAATAAACATTACTGAAGGAATGAATAGTCTCAGGTTTATTTGACAAAATGTTGGGTCTCCTTTTAGGTCTAACCAGTCACCTGATATGGGCTGGAGGAGTAAGGCTTGGGAGGGCTAAGGAGGGCCTGCTGGCAGGACAAGGTCTGAGTGTGATGGGTGGCCATAAGATTCCGGGGACCACAACAATTTCCAAAGGCCCGGGTGGTTTATGCAAATGACACAGTGGAGACATCACACAGGCAAACAGTTTTCCGCTGAGGGTCTTGAGCATAGCATGTACCTTGTGCATATGAGTTTTGCATGTTATATTCTGATAATCAAAATTATGCAAATAAGCACCCTTAGACGGAGTCGAAGATGGAGTTGTCTTATGCAGAACTCAGCTGAACCAATTACTGTGAAGTTACAGCTGAGGTTCTCAGTCTCAGGTATATCTTAAAATAAGCCAGGGAGCTTTAAAAGGTGTGTGTTAGGCGCCACCTCCAGAGATTTGGAAGTAATTGGGGTGGAAGGTTATCCCGGGCATTGGGGTGTTTCTTCAGGGCGCCCAGGTGTTCTGATGTGTGGTCGGGGAAGATGATGGCAACCCTGAAAGGGTGTTGGGTGATGGGTAAAAGTGAATGCTAATGACCCCCAGTCATGTCATGTAACCAGGAAGCCACTTAGGTTCTAGACTTCTCCATACTTGAGGTGCAACTAAAAGTTCTGATGTGACTTGAATGCATCTCTTTGTTGTAGGATTGTGGCTTTGGGGCTTGAGTGTCATTTTACAAATTGTCTACTGTCTGCTCTCCATTTTTATAAAAAAATTTTTGGTTTAAATAAGGATATCAATTATTTAAAAACAACCAATTCTAATATTTCTGTGAAGTATCTCAGTATGCAAATGTGCTTTTAAGATTGAATTGGTACTTTACTGAAGACACAGTGTGCCAGGCATTGAGCCACACTTTGGGAACACCAACATGCAGGGGCCACTGCCTGTGTATCACAGTCTGCAGGGAGGCAGGGGTGCAAGCCATCACTGAATGCACTGTAGTCAGCATAGTGACTGAGCTCAGATCAAAGGAGGAGGGAGCATCGTGGACCCAGCACCCAAATCTGCTTCAGTGGTGGCAGATGCTTATTCCCAGCAAATGGATGTCTTTTCCAAAGCCCTGCATTAGCCTAAGGGGTTCATGTCTGGCCCTCTACCTGTAGGTCTTCAGAGAGAAAGGGAAAGAAATCACAACTGTGCTCTCTTCTGTAGGATTCTCTACACATGTTTGCTTTTTTCCTCAGTTGCATTAAGAGATAGAAAACACTTTAGCAGGCTGGGCATGGTGGTACATGCCTGTAATCACAGTTAAGTGAGAAGCACAGATAGGAGGATTGTGGTCAGAGGCTGGCCCCAAGCAAAAAGTGAAACTTTATCAAAAGATAAAGCAGAAAAAGGGCTAGGGGTGTGGTTCAAGCGCAAGGTGTGAGTTCAAACACCAGTACTGCCAAAACACACACACACACACTTATGAATTTGAGTTTGATGACATGCGAAGGGGTATCTAAAACAGACCTGAGGATGCAAAAGAGGAAAGAAAGGATGGGATACAAATGAGTGAGTTAATTCTATTCTGGAACCTTCGTGAGATACCTCTTTAGATCAAAAAAACTACTGTTAACAGCATTACTTTTAAGCTATATTATTTTTTGCCTCAATTTTTAGAGGAAAACTTTTAGAAAAATCAAAAAGCTAAGAATAATTATGTTGGCATTGCTCTCCCAGATACAGGCCTCCTGAGTAGTTTGAAAGACAGTGATGCTAACTGTGACAACAAAGGGTCCTAACGACTCTTCACATTTAATACTTCCACCCTGTTTCCCATTATCTAAGTGGCTGGCACATTTTTAGATAAGATACAACCAAAGACTTTATTGAGAATACAACAATGTGAAATAACAATGGTGAAAAGGCTCCAGATGAGATAGATTCTTTTCTTTCCCCTTTCTCATGGGCAAAAAGCATTTACCTGTGTCAGCAGAGTGAAAAAAAAAAAAACAAAACCTGCCTGTAGACAGAAAAAAAAAAACCAAGCCTTTTCAGGAGGACATGCTATTCTTATCCTGACAACTGTTGGCTGTTCTGACAGAACTAAAGGATATGATTTCTCCTTCTAATTAGCTTGGTTGTCCTAACTGTATGAAAGCAACATGGGCAGGACTTGTCCTCCAGGCTTCCTAAGAGGATGGTGACAGTTTTGCAAGTTTCCTGTCTGATTCTGGGTCTGGAAGGAGCAGGACTTTAGAGTAAGAAAAAAAGGGAGTAGGGGTACAGCCTCAGACCACAGATCCAGTCTCTCATAACCAAGTGAAAATGGCTTCCTGATGTCTTGGTCAGCAGGGGATAAGAATCAAATCCTTTATTTTTAGGGATCCAGAACTTAAATATCCACAATCTAGAGAAATATTTTGGTCTTTCCAGCTCCTACCATGTCAACTCTAGCCCAGTAGGGAGGCTGGAACCCCAAGAGTCAAACTTAACAGTCTTTGGTATCTGTCCTTCTATTCTGCTCCTCACCAGCACTGGATAGTTAAGCAAACTTCCCTGCCCCAGGTGGGTGTGCTCCAGAGAGCAGACCTCCAAGCCAGGCCTCATCTGTCCGTCCAGCCCACCAAAGGCTCCCATAGCAACAGGCAACATGGTACCTAGGAGGTCGAAGCCCATGCCGCTCTCCAGACGGTGCTTTCTGTACAGGTTTTTCAGGACCTTGGCACTGCCAAAGCGCTTGAAACGACTCTTCACATTGTTGTAGAACCACTCCAGAGACTGGGTCCGCAGAAGCCTGAGGACACAGACAATCGATGATGGAAATTAGAATTGTTAAATGGTGAACTGCAAAACTCTGACAATGCTTTGCAGGTCTTTCCAGTATGACGTGGAGTTATTTCTCAGCCCCTTGAGTCTGGGCTGGCCTTGTGGCCATCACAGAGAGTGGGAGACCTGAGGTGAGCCCTGCTGTTTCCTCTTTTGCTGCTCTTGGGAACTCTGCAACTCACTGCACTGTGAATAAGCCCAGGCTGGCCTACTGTGGGATGAGAGACATTTGGCTCAGTCATCCCTCTTGTCCCAGCCAACCCCAGATGGGTGAGTAGGGCCTTCAACTAACAGTTAACCAGAGATGAACAAGTGAGATCTCAAGAGTCCACCAAAGACCACCTGACACCAAGTAAGTCATCCAAACGGCAAGCTAAAAAATGCTTTCTATTTGAAATCACTAAGTTTTGGAGTGGTTTATTATGCAGAAAAGCTAGCAGACACATCTGTTTAATAGCAGGCTTTATATTGGACACTCTCCCTGCTTTAACAGCTGCATTAATTACTGCATTTTAAATCCAGCTTGGGAAAACAGAAAGAACAAATGAGACAGCAGAATTCTTCAGCCTCTTCCTTGATCAGTCTGAAGCATGATAGGGGAGCTGTTTTTGGGTTTGCACTATTAATGATTGGTACAAAACATGGACAAGATTCTTTTCTTTTATGTCTGATGTTTCTAAAGCCCTGCCATTTTAAAAATAGCTTTTGCTATTTTTCTTATTATGAATAAAATTATACTGATACTGGAAAATTCAGAGAAACCACAATGAATATGAGATTTCCAATTCAATGGAGGAACCCGCACATATTTAGCTGTTCTTGTTCTGACCCCAGAAAAATATGAGAAGACACTGCAGGTGAAAGAAATAAAAAAAAAAAATGAAGAAATGGGGGTGAGAACAGAATTGGGAAGGTTTTAACAAATTTCTGGAAAACTGAAAATGAATGACAGCATAAAGGTAAACAGAAAAGGCTGTCTTTTAAAATAGAATGAAGAATCTTCTTTGACTGGAAGGTCCAATTTTAAGTTGGTTGCTTTGGATAGCAGGCTTTGATGATACAGAATTGAGAAAGGTAATTTAATCATTGATAGAGAGCAGGGGAGGCCTCTTGGCCCGTCTATCCCTGTTCTCAAACAAATGGGCAACTGGTTCAAGGATGATTTGTCTTAGACTGAAAATAGAAGTTTTCTATTGCAACTAAACAGTCTACTGGAGAAGGGTTAGGACTTCAATATGGAGGTTAACCATACAGTGAGTACTTCTTGTTTGGCACTGGGGGAACACCATATGCCTGCCCACCAGATCCTATCCACCTACCCAAAGCAACGCCTGCTGGCTGCCTGCCTAGCTCAGAAACTTAAGAGCTCTCATTACCCCAAATCCCTTTCAAAAAAGAAGCCAACAGGGAATATGACTCAACAGCACAGAGGTGTGTGCTGACCACCATTATTAATCAACTAAATCCTTCATTAAAAAAAAAGAACAGACAACAGGGATCAGCAGATGTTCAGAACAACCCAACAGGCCCAAGACAGACTAGCAATAATAGGGGGAGGGGACATGGGGAAGAGTGATAGAGGGTTTGGGTTTGATGGGGGGTACGCTGTATGCGTTCATGAGAACATCACAATGAAACCCCTTTGTGTAATAAATACATGCTAATAAAAATGACAAAAAATAAACTAACAACAATAGAGAGGGCAAATAAAGACAATTCAGCATGCTGAAAATAACTTATATTCTAATCAATATCAATTCTAATTCTAAAATTGTAATTAATATCAATAGCAATTTGAAAAAATACTGCATCCATATAATGGGATAGAGTGACATGAAATACAAGTAATTAGAGGGCAAGCAACAATTTTCTGGAAATAGAAAAACAATTTTGGTAAATAAATTGATAGAAGATTTAAAAGTTAAAATTAGTATAAAATTTCTAGAATACAGAACAAGAAACCTAAAAAAGGGGAAGGGGACATATGACAGAAAAAATACATGGGAAGATCAGTTTAAATGATTGAGCATTTAATAAGATTCTGAAGAGGGAAAAAGAGAAAATGGAGGCAAAGAGAGGAAAAAAGTCAAAAACACAACACAAGAAAACTCCCCCAGTAAGAAAGGCACAAGTCTAGGCAGAGATCAAGAGGATTGCGGTTTGAAGTCGGGTCAGGCAAATAGTTTATGAGACGCTATTTCAGAAAAATCCAACAAAACAAAGGATTGGCAAAGTGGCTCAAGGTGTAGGTCCTGAGTTCAAATCCCAGTACTGTAAAAAAAAAGGCAAAAGTCTTTAGGTTCAAAGGGTTAACCAACTGCCAAGAAGACTAAAAGAAACCCAAAATTAAGCAGACATACCTACCAAGATCTAGCTTCATAAAAATTCAGATCCTCAAAGACAAGGAATCAATAGGGACTTCCAGACAGAAAACAAGAGTACTTTTGCAAGGAAATGATAATAATAACAATAAAAATTTAATCAGTATCACTGAATTCTAGTAGACTCTGGGGCATGGATGGGTTTTCTAAGGCCAGAGAAGAAATGATAAGAACTTAGAATTTGATGCTCTGCTAAACCATCACTACATGAGAGCAAAATAAAGACATTTTTAGACATCTACTATTTCAGAATTTCCTATTCTGAATAAAAGCATATACTCTAGAAGAACCAAAAGTAATCCAGGAAAGAGAAAGTTCTAGGACTCTGTAACAAGGAGAATTTTCCCTGGCATACGATCTGAAGATTACAGCTTTTGAGCAGACCTGGAAGCCAGTAAGTATATAACCAAGAAACTACAGGGATGAGAGGAAATGATGAGGGAGGAGTCATATTTTTCTTTTGTCAACAAGGACAAGAACAGACAACTAAAATCCCCAGGAACACAAAACTCAACTCAAAAAAGAAACTCAAGAAAAATCGCCTGAAGTTCTACTATCCGAACTTGACATTCAAAGAAGGCTCCTCAAGACTTCTCTGAACAGTGGCTCTTAGCCTATATAGAAGTTGGGAGGGGTCCAGAAACTCACGCTAATGTGTTTGTGTGTGTGTGCTTCTAAAGAGGCCCCTTTCTGCTGGGCTGGCTTCATGGCAGAATAAAAGAGAACTTCTGGGCTGACTTTGCCATCACTTGGGAGACAGCCATGGTTTTCTGAACAAAAGCAGCTCTGACAGTGGAAGGGGATAGGGTCCTGTTGATATATTTGAACATGTGCCGGAAGTCAATTTCTAGACTTTCCCCTTATATGAGCCAAAAAATGCCCCTTTTTTATGTAAGCCTTTTTGAGCTGGGTTTTTAGTATTAGGAGCCAAGAGTCCTAACACTGAGTTCTAAGTTCTAGATAGTCCTAAAAGACCACAAGTGCACCATAGGACCAGCTCACATTCTCTCACCCAAACTCTATGGCATTCAGAGACATCTTGGTGAACTCTGAAACCCAATGCCTCAAGCTTGCTCAAGTCTTTTAAATGGAATCAGGTACTGCCCCAGGCTTTAGGGAAGCAGAAGACAACACTGAATCTCCAGGAATGATTAGTCAATCACAGCTCAATTTGGAGAACAGAAAACTCTTCCCCAAGAAGAAATGTGTTAAAAAAGACAGGAAACCAGAAGGGGGACTATTGGGATAGTGGGTGGGGATCAGCATAAAAGAGGGAAATGGACTGAGTATAAATAAGCCACAAAGAAGAAAAAAGAAAGAACATTATCTTCACTTTTCATAGATAGGATGCATAGAGCTTTTTGTTTTTGTTTTACATGTTTTAAAAAATATTTTTGTTTATCAGCATACAGTAATTATATGGGGGGGATACATTGTGACATTTACACATGTGCTTATAATATCTTAATTAGATTCATCTTCTCCATCATTCTCCCTCATCCCCCTCCTCCTTTCTTAGAACAATTTTAACAAGTTTCATTACTCTATTTTAATACATGCATCCAAAGTACAATCACCATATTTTCCCTATTTTACCTTTTCTGTTTACCTTCCCACTGGTACCCAACCCTACACAGGACCTGCTTGACTTTCCTGTCCTTCATTTTTTTAAGTGTATATTGATTGTTCAAGGGGGGTTTCACTTTGGTATTTCACATATGTATATGTATTGTTCTTTAATCAGATTAACCACCTATATTACTTACTCTTTATCATCCTTCTTTATTCTATTATTCAACAGCTTTCAGAGCATTTCGTTATACTACCTTCATGCACAGATGCAATGTGTTTCAGTATTATTCACTCTCTATCACTCGCTTTACCTCTCCTGCCTCCCCATAGTCCTCTCAGACAGACTAATTCATGAAATCATGTTCTCTCTGGCTGTATGCCTCTCTCTATATGTATATGTGTATGTATATAAGGTCATATATATATTTATGTATACATTCATATTATAGGTCTAGCTTCCACATATAAGGAAAACCGTGACCTTTTGAGCCTGGCTTACTTCACTTAACATGATATCTCTAGTTCCATCCATTTACTTGCAAACAACATAATTTCATTCTTCTTTATGGCCAAATGATACTCCATTGTGTACATATATCGCATTTTTTAATCCATTCACTAGTTGTAGGGCATTTGGACTGTTTCTAAAGCTTGACTATTGTGACTAGTGTTGCAATAAACGTGGGTGTACAAGTGGCTCTATCCTATTCTGGAGCACATTCCTTCAGGTATAAGCCCAGGAGTGGTATCACTGGATCATATGGTATGTCTGTTTTTAGTTTTTTGAGGAACCCTTATATACTGCTTTCCATAGCAGTTGCACTAATTTATATTCCCACCAACAGTGTATAAGGTTTCCTTTATCCCCTGCATCCTTGACAGCATTTGCTATTGCTTGTATTATTGATGATAGCCATTCTGACTGGAATGAAATCTCAATGTCGTTTTGATTTGCATTTCCTTTATGACCAAGGATGTTGGGCAT